TTCAAACAATTATCCATCTTTTGCAGTGCCCCTTGGGACTGACATGCACACAGAATGACTTACTGGTCGGAAATGCCATCAACGGGGCCCAGCCTTGGGCAAGAATTATATAAATCTATATTTTTATTAAAGTTTTAAAAATGTTTTAAATTTAGATTAATAATGAACTCCCTTCCAGCTCATGCATTTCTGATGCGAGACGAGATCCATTTTTTGCTTAACCATTGAATGTGGGGCTTCCGTGGGCAAATGTTACAGCACAATTAGCTTGGATCACAGACCATGTTATAGAACAAGTGTCTGTTGCTTTTAGAATGCACTCTGCCCCGTTCATAGAATTTCACATGGGCCCCAATTTATAATCCATCTCTAGCCCTGTTTCTTTCTATACCATGATTTCTGCTGTGTTTCTTATCAGAAAGAACAACTAAAAAAAAAAATGGTTGTATTACTTGTCTTGTTGATTGGTAGTGCTGGAGGCTATTCATCTAGAAGTATTCTTTGCCATATTTTTCTCAAGTTCATCTCTGCCCAGTGTTGAGATCCCCAGGTTAATGTGTTTGGCCAAGCCTATAGGAATGTAATTGGGATCTAAATAGCATATGTGAATGAGTATTGAATAGTTAGGCTTGGTACTGTTCACAGCTCACAACTTCCACTTTTTGCAGGGATAAGCTAATTTATCATTATTAGTATAGACAAATCCGTAATCTATCTCATTTTTCTAACAGCAGAAGGCTTGCTATTTCCCCACTTTCCAGAAGATCTTTTGCCAAGATAGTCATGGATAAAACTATGTACTGATATTTACAACTCTTTATTTCACAGTAAAGCAGAACATAAAATATTGTACGTGATGATGGCTTCTCAGTGCTCTTTCATAGCAAATCAATAGCTCCAGAAGTTGTTCTTCAAAACTTTGATAAATAAGACTAGTTAAGAGTGATCAATGCTTGGATATATGATTGCCTTGCCATTTACTCCTGTGTATGGAGTTATCTGGAGAAAGATGAATTGTTGAGAAAGATGGACTGTTGGCTTTGTTCTCTTTCAGAAAAATCTGAATTTATCTTCCAACAGCTTACTGTTCATATGGACTAGAGATTTCTTTTTTCTTAAAAAAAAAGGCCAATTTTTGCTCAGAATGGTTCTCTAAGCTGGAATCACTACTTGCTCTGTTTAATTAAGATGCATTACCTGAAGATGCTATGGATTGAATCAGAGAAGTTCTGCCTGCAAAGGGGCTGGTTGGGTTGAGCTTCCAAACAGAGCAGCATACTAGAGTGCTATAAAGATGCTTAAAGTTTTTTTCTCTTAATAGTGAAGTTCAGAGGTGAGGAACCTGTGGCCCTCCTGTTAGTGATGAACTAGCACTTACCACAGTCTAAGTTAGAATGCCAACGGTGAGGGATCCCTGTCTCTAATGTAGGGCATACTGCCAAATTGTATTTGGGGAAATAGGCAGAAAAAAGTAGCTGGATGTGTAAGTTGATGTTCAGTTATAATTATACTCTGTGTGTGTGTGTGTGTGTGTGAGAGAGAGAGAGAGAAAGAGAGACTCTGTGTGTGTGTATATATATTCCTTCAGGTTGTTATATGTATTATTGAGATATGTTCTGCTTTGAATAATATCTTTAAATTGCCACCAGGTAATTTTATTATTTCATCTGGAATTAGTCCTAAAGGAGGTGGTTGCAAACCATGGTGATGGTGGGTTGGCACCATATATGTTAGATGTCTTACTCTTAAATTAGCATATTTGCAACTTATCTTGGGGATCTGGAAGAGACAAGCCAAATTTACTTTTAAACTACAATGGAATTAATTGGGAATTAGCAACACATCTTGGGAATGATGGAATACATTTCAAATGTTCCAGGTCATCTTATATATCTTTAAAAAAATATTGGCTAAATGTGTTTTCTGCATTTGGAGTGGTTACTGTTTCAGATTACTACTATCCAACATTTGAAACTAACAAATAGGAATGTTTTCCAATTTTTAATTTTAAAGTTAAATGATAATGGGAGGTATTCAGTGGGAGGTATTCCACTCAGCTCTTGGAAAGCCACTGGGTGTGATTAAGAAGTTATGCAGGATAGAGGTGGGCAGATATAGAGAACAACATGTTCATATTAACCAACCAGAATGAATTAATGTAATGCTTTTTATTCAGGTATCCAACTTGATAAGATACATAACGATCTGTAAAGGAGAATTACTCTCTGTGTGCATTAATCCTAATTGTCCAGAAAACTCAAGTTTAAAGCAATAAAACAGAATCCTCTTGTCTCTCAACATAGTAAAGTTTAGAAAGGTGGAAGTGAAGTTGGAATGCCATGGGGACATTGTGGATAGAACCAGAATTTGTGGTCATCTGCAATGAATTCAGTCCCCCTTGCTAGATTATTCCTCTAAACCAAGGAACTGACCAGAACTAGACAGAACAAACTCCAGCAACTGAGACTGAATTCTCCAAGGACTCAGCTCTGTGCTAACAGATCCTGCAAAAATCAACTGAAATACACCTCCAGTCATTCAAGTTATTAATTCATTGGTAGAAATCACCCTCTGTGGAAATTCCTATCTTCTTATCTCCCTCCCTCCCTCACTGTTTGCTGAATCTGGTTTTATCCAGTGGAGAATATAGAACTCTGCATGCTATAAATCTTTCTGACTGTACCCTTAAAGATTAAAATTCCTGATCGGTTGGTTGAACTGAATAAGATCTATATCTAATTCAGCCTCCCAACCTGGATACCCTCCAGATGCATGGGCTTCAACTCCCAGAATTCCTCAGCCAACATGGTCATTAATGACAATTCTGGGAATCAAAATTCACATGTCTGGAAGATGCCAAGGTTGGGGAAAGTGATGTTTTATTTCATTTTAAGAAGCACTTACTATTTCTAGCTCTTCTCTTATTTTTAATTTATCTGCTGAAATGGAAACTGGAGTTGATCTGCTTTTTTTCCTTGTAGCTTGAGATGTGATTTTACTCACTGCCAAATCACTGGGCATAGACAGTTACCTGGTTCTTAAGGAGAGAACAGGTAAGCTCCAGAAATGGGGCCCTCTGCGTAAACCTGATTTGCCATATCAGTTTGTACCCTGTTAGGGCTGAACGGATCTTCTCCAACAAGTTGTCCCTTTCCCTTGAAAATGCCAGTGGCCCTTGCCATCTCTTATCAAAACAGTAAGGACTTGCAGAAGAACAAGGTTTCAAACATTCATTCCACAGAATGAAGTAACTTTTCCTCTATATTATTTTGGAACTGATTCTCTGGTCCCAAATGGATATTTTAATGAGGTGAGGAA